GTTCTTCCTTCTGCTCCTCTGGGTGTCTTAGCAGTGAATTTATTTCAGTTATGCAACAAGGAAACCAAATTAAAGGGACTATAAAGTGGGAGCAGGAGATAAAGGAACCAGATGTGAAGCTGGAATTAAGACAAACATAAAAAGTAAAACCCCAAACCCACACAGCAGTCTGCACAGTGCGGCGGATCGCTTCTCTGTCCCTGCGTGCCAGCCGGAAGGCTCCTGGTTCTCGCCCCACTCCCGCTCTAGCTGAACCCTGGGAAGGGCGTCTCCCTCTCAGGGCCTCAGTTTCCATTCCGTGAAATGGGGGATTGCACTGGATCGGTGGTTCTCAGTAGGGGTAGGTTTTGTCCTCCAAAGGAATATCAGGCAGTGCCTGGAAACCTTTTCAGTGTCACACTGGGGAGGGTGCTACTGGCACCTACTGGGTAGACCCCAGAGATGCTGCCCACGATCCTACAGTGCACAGGACAGGCCTCTACAACAAAGGATTCTCTGTCCAAAATGTCAGGGGTGCCGAGGCTGAGACATCTACTCTGGATGGTCTTGATGGTTGCCCCAGATCTGACCTACATTCGATTCTGTGAGTTTGGGCCCAGCGTTTCCTCACCTCCTGTAAGAGAAGCAAAGCTCTCACGGCCCACCAGACTGTGGCTGTGGCCCACTCAACTAGGAGGGGGAGAGAAGAAATAAACAACAGGGTCAAAGGCAGGAAACAGTCTCAAGTCCTCCGCGGGAGGCCCGGCAGTAAAAGGCAGATGTGGACTGAGGCCTCCCTTCCTCATGTGAATGAACAGGGCCCCCTCCTGGTGTGTGTCGGCATAGCAAGCAATGGGTTGATGGGTGGAAAACCACACAATATTTGAATAAAAACATGGTGTCAGTGGGATATTTCCTTAATGACCACCTTATGACTTCTCGGGATAAAAGAAGAAATACTAATCAATCGTAGCAGAATTTCCTTGAAAAACATAACAGACTTGTAAACAGTTACTTAAGAAATGCTGACTCATTTTAGATTAGACTCAATATGGAAGAGCCTGCCACAACCAGACCCTTTGTGGACGCTGGATAAATGACAGGTGCAGCACGACCATGCAGAGTGGGGAGGAGAGGTCTTTTCAGTCAGTGGTGCTGGGCCAACTTGGCAAGAAATGCGATTGGATTCCTACCTCCCAGGAAACATAAGCATCCAGTCCAGATACATAACACACTTAAAGGCCTGTTACGTCTTAAAAGGCTAAACTCTAAAACTTTTAGAAGATAACTTCATGACTTTACAGTAAGGAAGACTTTTTAAATAAGTCAAAGAGCACCAGCCATACAGGAAAAATAAAATAAAATAAAATAAAATAAAATACACTACACCTTAGGAACTTCTGTTCATCAAAAGACAAGCTGCAGGAATATATTTGCAATACATATACCTACAATATATAAATAACAGCCGCAAATCAATAAAAAAAGGCAACTCAATAAGAAATAGGTGAAAACATTGAACAGCATTTCACAAAGAGGCTGTCCAAATGGCAATACCATATGGAAAGAGACTCAGCCTCATTGGTCATCAGGGAAGTAAAAACCATAATGAGATAACATGACACATCTACCAGAATGCTTATGAATGTTGAAAAGAGACAAAGTGTTCCTGAGGATGCAAAGAATTAAAACTCCAATACCTCGCTGAATGGGAAAATAAATGGGTACAACCATTTTGTAAAACTGCTTGACAGTCCTCTACTGAAGCTAAACATGTGTCCACACATGGACTCAGCCATTGTACTGCCATGTATTTACCTGATACAGATGAGAGCGTATACTCACCAAAAGAAATGTACAAGGATATTCATGACAGCTCCTTTCATAACGGTATCCAACTGCAAATCATTCAAATGTCCATCCCAAGTAAAATGGACAATTCAATTAATCTATGCAGTGAGAATACTGCATATTCTGTATATTACTGGATGTACAGTGGACCTTAATTAAAAGCACCAAGAAAATAAGCACCCCGCTCCATAGGTGTATGGGGTTCTGTACTAATAATGCACCTTGAATATTAAGAAAATTTACAAGCACCCAAGTTAAAGAAGAAAATATACCTTTGTCTAAGTAATCACTTTTCAATTTATATTCTCTCTACCTAAAAAGTAATGAGATACCAAAAAACTGTTAAAAACAAAAAGGCAAGCCACAGAATGAGAAGGTGCTTGCAGAATATACACCAATATGGAGCCCACACCAGAAAGAACTGCAAGTCTGTTAGAAAAAGACAGCTGACACTAAAGAAAAATGGGCAAGACTTCTCACTTTGTACTTTTCAGTATCTTTCCAGGTTTTCTAAACTATTATATACACTTCTACCTTTTTATATTTACTTTCGGTTCAATAATACTACACGAATATACTTTCCGTGTAAAATATCAGACACTCCAGATAAAAGTAGTCCCTATTGACCTTTAATCCTGGTTCCCTCCAATACATAGAGAAAATGACTAAATTATTATGCTTTTTTTCCCTAGTTTTTTTTTAATGCAGTATTCTTTTGTGGGTTTTAATGTTTTGTTTATTTTATATGTATGGCATCATACTGATGTGTGTCTTGTCCTGAGACTAGCTTTTTCCCCACTCAATATTATGACTTTTACCATGTTTTCTGCTGGTATGTACAAAGTTACTGTAGTTATTACCTTATTCTTTTTTAAAAAAGAATTTTTTAAATTGATTTCAGAGAGGTAGGGAGAGAAACATCAATGATGAGAATCATTGATTGGCTGCCTCCTGCACACCCCACAGTAGGGATTGAGCCTGCAACCTGGCCATGTGCCCTGACCGGGAATCGAACCATGACTTCCTGGTTCATAGGCCAACGCTCAACCACTGAGCCAATCAGCCGAGCTAGTACCTTATTCTTTTTCATGACTTCAGAGTCCTCCATAGCATGGATGCTCCACAGTTTACATAGCCCTGCCCCCTGGATGGCCACTGAGTCGCACTCCTTCCTCCTTGCCACCCCCCTCCTTATTTTTGCTCCTAGTCCCCGTTTAATGAGAACAATTGATACGTTATTTAAATGTGTATGTAATTCCAGCTTCATAAAGTAAAAAAACTCCAGAAAGCTCACGCCTCATTCTAAACTCAGAAAGTGTCATGGCTTTGGGGATTTCCCCAGTTGTCTATGTAGAAAGCGGAGCGCACAGCTTTGGGGAGCCCTGACCTTCGCTATGTGCCTGCCCCCATCCCCCAGGACTGGGAATGGTGCTAAAAACCTATGACTCTGTTTTTCTACCTCAGCTGCTGATGTGCTGTGCGACCTTGGGCGAGTGGCTCCCCTCTCTGGTTCCTCACTTCCCCACTTATGAATGGGATGGGAGGGTTGGAACATATACTCTGTTGGGGTCTCTCTCAGCTCTGAGGAGTGTCCTGTTGTCTCCAGTGATACATGCAAGTGACCACCAAGGCAGGGATGCCTGAGAAAAATTTCCCCTTTCCTTGTAGCCCCGTCCATAGTCTGCCTCTCGGGGTCTGTCAGGAGAAGTGTAATTGATGCTCAGGAGACACCCAGGACCTGAGGCTTCAGGCACCCGCCCTCCCCCCACCCCCTCCCTCCTCTCCCCCCAGGTCCCCTGCAGCATCTCCTCATCTTTCTGAGGCCTTGAGCAGAGCAGTGCTTCCTACTTATCTCATCCCCACGACTGCTGAAGGCTAAGGTTGCCATGGCAACCCAGGCCCACTGAACCATGTTATAAACCTGTTTCTATAAAGAGGAACATTTAGCTGTCTGGAGAGTCCTTCTAAAGGGGAGCAGAGAGGCAATTACTCATGGAGGAAGAGCAAACCTGCATATTTCAGACCTTCCAGTGTATACATGTCCCTCCTGTGAAGATGGGATTCTGAGGTGTGGACCGGGCCGGCTTACAGACAACGGGAAGCAAGAACCTTCCTGGGCTCTTCTTCTGAGCTCTTGCTATCATGGCCTCCTTCATCTCTCTCTACCTTTGTTCCCCTCCTTCCTAATTCCTTCCTTTTCCCTCCCTTCTCCATGTGCCTGCCTGCAAGGTGACCCCTGGGATGGACAACTGCAAAAGCCTCGTCCTTGACTCACCTTCCAGCCAGTCCTTCTCCGAATAGCCAAAGGGGCCTTTAAAGAAAGTCCATCGAACCCCCTCACTCTCCATCTCACAAGGGGATGGCCAGGGACTGCGGCCACCTGCTTCTCCCCCCACAGCCCCGACCTTGTCCCCTTACCCTCTGCAGTCCAGTTCACTATGGGCTGCTTTTTCTTAAAGACATTCAAGTCTCATCCTCTCCCGACACCCATCACTCTCTGTGTGTCCTAGTTCCCTGTTGAGTGCTTCACAGCACGTGCACCACCTGCATTCACAAACTCTGCTTATTACTTCTTCCACCGCCTCCCTCTCCAGAATAAAAATAGTAATAATCTGTCTCCCTTGTTCCTGGCCATTTATCTTCCATCCAGACCTGCACCTGGCCAGGTGCAGGCTATCAACACCCTCACTCACTCACCCTCAGCACCACAGCAGGCTCTCGGTTCTATGTCCCCATTAAACCCTGCACTCGTTCCTCATGGCACTGACTGTGACCGTGACCACATCACTTCTGGGTAAATACTGCTCAGTATGGGTCTCCTCGTGACTGTCCAGGACACGAGGCAGGGACTGGCTACTGCTATGTCCAGGAGGGCAGCGCCTGTCCTACGGCAGCCAAGGAGTCATTATTTGTTTAATGAGTGACGGGAAAATTAAGACTCCCAGATGGCCAAGGTCCGGCCGCTGGTGAAGGTGGGCAGGGTGGGACCCTCGTTCTTCTCTAGCACTCGGGTGGTCGAGCTGTCTGACACGGAAAGGAGGGGTGCGGGCCCCACCGGAAGAGCGAGGATCTTGCTGCAGGCCCTGGTCAGGTGCAGTGGGGCCTCAGGAGTCTGACGGGGGGCGGGTTCCTCCCAGCCTGGGACGCTCCCCTCTGGGCTCAGGACTCACCAGGGCTTGCTCTATAAGCAGGCAGAACAGGATGGCGTTGCCCACTTCCCTCAGGCTCTGGAACACGTCTGTTTTGAGCTCTGCGTACTCAATGATGTCCTTCAGCTGGTGGTGGAAGAACTCCAGGATCCCTGGGGGTACAGAGAGGCCGTCAGCGGGGAAGTAACACAGCTCAGCTGGGTTCATGGGACCTGTCAACTGAGCAGCAGCCCCAGACCTGACTTGGACAGCCAAAAGCCAAACCTGTGGGCCCTGGGGTAAGGCTTCCTTCAGGCTCAGTACTAGAGGAAGACCAGGAGGCGGGTTCCAATCTTTTATGGAACAAAACACACACACACACACACACACACGCGCGCGCGCGCGCGCGCGCGTGCACAGTGAGCAGCCCTGGGTCTTTCCTAGTCCCTCCAAAAACTTACCCGAATTCTTAATAATGACAGGCATTAATATTTATTTAGCAGTGTTAGATGCTGTGCTAAGGACTTTATCTGCAATCCCTCATTTGATACTCATAACAACACTATGAATCAGCAGTATTACTCTCGTTTTCAGATGAGGCTCAGAGAGGGTAAGTGGCATGCCCACAGTCACACAGCTTAGTACATGGGGCAGCTGAGACTGAACACCAGCGTTTTCAGTCCCAGCCCTTTCCTGTTCTAAATCACACTGACCCAGCAGACCATCTTTCTGGATGCCCCGAGCCCCCAATTCAGTCTCTACTCCACTGACTATGAGGGAAGAATCACTTCTCTGCCCAGATGTCAAATGGCAAAAACTCCTGTTTCCGGACTCACTTTAGAAATGCCACCTGGGGCCAATGGAGGATGGAATCCCAGAGATGCTAAGCTAATGAAGACCTTTATGAGTAAACCTTGCTCTCCCGTTTGCATCCTCGTGCAGCTTCCCAGCAGGCCTGTGAGGGAGGCCCAGCCGCCATCGTTTGCCTTCGCTGATGGAAGAATACTACCCTCAGAGGGATAAAAAATGGTTGGAGGCTAGCTTCTAGCTAGTGGCAGAGGAAGGATGCAAACCCAGAGCTCTGCCAGCGTGTGGCATTTTAGAGAAGCAGACCCTCCAAGGCAGGTGGCCGCAGTCCCTTCCCACCACGGGAGGGGTTTGCATTATTTTCCTCTCACCACTCCTGCCCCGGTTCCCCATCACCCACCTGGGGAGCCATACTCATGCCGGGGCAAGCGGCATATCTTGGGCATCACTTCGATCAGTGTTTTCACATACTGGAGAATGGTCCCCTGGAGCTGAGAAAACAAGAGCACAAAATGAAATAATCCGCCGATGCTGCTCAGGTGCATCTCTAGGCTGAACGCTGGGTGTACGGGGGTTCTGCTGAAACCTGTGGGTAAGTGCGATGCTGAATGTGTCCCTAATTCCCAATGTGATGGTATTTGGAGATGAGGCCTTCCAGAGGTAATTAATTATGAGGGTGGGGCCCTCACAATGGGATTAGTGCCCTTATAAGAAGAGACAGGAGAGAGATGATGTCTCTCTGTCATGAGAGGATGCAGCCAGAAGGCAGTGAACTAGGAGAAAGGCTCTCACCAGAACCTGACCATGATTGCCCTGATCTTGGACCTCCAGCCGCTAGAACTGTGAGAAATAAGCATGCTGTTTAAGCCACCCAGTCTGTGGTATGTTTGTTACAGCAGCCTGAGCTGGCTGAGACAATAGGCTCTGTTCCCTGATAAGACAGGGCAGGTTCTCCCCTAACGATGGGCAGTATCCCCGGTGCCCTTTCTAAGGGAAAATGGGCCTTTATAAGACAGAAGAGGGAGCTTTCTCATTAGCCCCTTGGGCTTATAGACTTTAAGGAGGGCAGTTTCTAAGCATGCTGTCCTTCCTGGAGTAGGGGGCTTACATGGGACCCAGACTAACAGCTGAAATGAAATGGGGCCAGGGAACTGTGGAGACTGGACAGTCTCTTCTTCAAGCAGGGAAAACCCATAGCACATTTATCCCTCGTGTTCAAGGCAGACTTCTTTAATCAATTCACATTTTCTGGATTGAGCGTCACAGTTCATAATCCATGGCTCCACAAAGCTGCTACCAGAGAACTGGAGTTAGCCAGTGAATCCTGCTTGCCATGCCCAACATGGTTATAGATTACTTTCTTATTTCTCTTTCATCAGTTCAAATTTTCGGGAAAATCTTGTTTCACCCTTGCTTTAACAGTGTTCCGGGGAATTAAATGAAGGTTCAGATGACCATACATGGGGCAGAGACAGAATGGTGATAAAGGGATTGGCTTGAGGCCAGTGCAGTATTGGTAGTAGAATTTAGCAAGAAATCCCAAGGGGAAGAAGCACGGTGACTGATTAGAGATGTCTGCTAGGGGCATGGGAGGCGAAAATGGTAGCATCCGTGCCATAGGTATACCATGCAGAAATTAGACAATATGGCACAGGAGGGGACTACGAACAATCATTACTAGACCCTGAAGGTCAACATCAGGATTGCTGAGTTCAGTCATGAAGCACAGGGAGTAAGCTCAGGGTCAGACAATGAGAGGCATAGGCACAAGTCAGAAGGACCACAGAAATGTAACAGAGCAACAGGTAAGAGGAACCAAGGGGTAAGGGGAAAGGTCTCTATCTACAGACACAGCTGAAGTGTCTTGATTTCAGATCCGGGTAAAAGGTGACAGCAGATCTTGTTCCTATCCACCCCGCTGGGGCACATCCAGGCCTCGTGTGGCCCGTCCTTACCAAGCTCTTGACGATCTTCAGCAGCTCCTCCATGACCACGGCGATGCCCTGGTAGCCCAGGAGTCTGCAGATGGTCTTGAAGTGAGGGGGCCCCACGAAGTTCCTGTAGGAGCTGTAGATGTGGCTGTAGGCGATGTTGAGAGGCTGGAAAAGAGAGGATGTGCAAGGTGAGCAGCTGAGCACGGAATGGATGCCGGCGTCCTATCCAGGTGGGAGATGTATCGCTGACAGAAAGGACGTCACCCGGTGCTCTCACTGGGGCGCCCCGGGGAATATGTTTGCAAGATGCTGGCCATGGAGAGAGGTGTGGTCAGTGGCCACAGGATGGAGCAAAGGCCACTAGATCGAGCAGGGATTCCCCAGGGAAAGAGGAGAAAGAACTTCCAGACGAGTATCTTTTTTACAAAGACTCCTGCTACCCCAACTGTCCACACACACACACACCAGGAGTTTTACAAACCAAGCTATGGGGTAGGGGTAAAAATGACTACTTTCTTTTTCTAGAGACATTTTTGGTACTAGAAGCTGGCTGGAAGAACCCTGTGAAAACACAATGGGAGGCTAACACTGGCTTCTTTCTTCTACTTTAGTTGTCTCCGTCTATGACAGGGTGGGGTCTTGGGAAGGAACAGGCCTGGGCGTCAGGAGACCTCTGCTGAGTGCCTGGGAAAATCAGTTTCCGCATCTATGAAATGAGGGGCTGGACCAAACCAGGGCTTTCCTAACTTTCTGAGTAGCCATCCAAAGGAAAGATGCCATAGGAACTAACATGTGAAACAGGCAAAAGCAGAGCTGCTCTGTTTGGGTGTTGGTGGGGGCCTTAGGGCCCCGGCCACTGACTGGCCACCTCCATATCCTCAGAACCCCCCACGACACCTTTGATGAATAGGGGGAATCTCTTTAAGATCTCTGTCTGAGAATATATGACCAAAATATAGGTCCCTCAATTGCTCTCCTGTGGTTACCAGAGTTGTCACTGACTTTGTTTCGAAATGCTGCCACTTACAGAGCACCTCACGCCAGGCTCCATGAAGCCTTCCACGTGCATTCTCATTTAACCCACACCACAAACATATGGACATGGCCAATCCTTAGTCCCATTTCACAGAAGGGAACTGAGGCTCAGGGTGGTAAGTAGCTTGCCCAAGGTCACACAGTTCACAGGTAACTGAGTCCTGATCTGCACCCAGGTAGGTCAGATTCCAAAGCCCATGTTCCTAGTCTCTAGTTACAATGGCGGACTTTGGAACTGAATTCTATTATAAGCCATACCCATTTTTTAGATAAGGCCTCACTCCAAAGCTTAGGTCTGAGTGTAGTTTTCTTGCCTGGAATTATAAAAATCTTGAACACAAACCATGCATATACGAGACCACACCTGACAGTCTACTAGCTGAAATTCTCTAGTAGTTGGCTAATGAGAAGTCCTGCATGAATGAACCGGGAACTGTAATGATGCATTTGGAGGACTGCAAGGGTCTCAACTCCCTCCGGAGCCATGGAGGGAAGATTTAATTATGTTCAGTCTAGGTTTGGGGTTAAGTATGTTTTAGTGGAGATGAACTCTTCTAAACTTTACAAACTACGCATCACGATCATAGTGCCCTCTACTATCAAGGACACATGAACACAACTGGGACACCCACTGGCAGCGAGGATTCGTGAGGAAGCAGAACACCCACGCATCCAGCAGGTTGAATGACAGTTCGTTTGGGAAGCTAACGCCTACATGTGGGAGGCTCGGAAAGTGACAAAGAGCAGCTCCGCACTCCATTCGGATGTGCTGTCACAGTAAACTCTGCCTGAACCTGGCGGGTGGATAGCTTGTATGTGGTTCCTAAGGATTTCTAAGTATTAAGGGGCACAAATCATTTATGTAGGGCGGGAACTATAACTGACTTAACGCATGATGTTCACTAAAGTCGATGTTCAGCAAATCCTGGAAGTATATGAATTGTTGGGTTTCATTCAGCCAATCATGGGGGCCATTTACTGTGTGAGTAAAACAGGCCACCCAGTCTAACTGAGCTGGGTGCAGGGTGGGGTGAGTGAGGCACTAGAGCACAAAACGTTAGGAGGGGCCCTCTCCCTCGATGAGTGTATCCCAGTTCTGGCTCTGTTCTCAGAGCCTCATTCTGTATTCTCCTGCTTCCGTGGCTAGGGATGAGGAGTATATAGCAAACACCAAACCAACATGGCTTACCTCTGGTAGGGGAAGAAGACTGAGTAGAAAGGGGCATGAGAGAACTCTCTAGGTGATGGAAATACCCTACATGTTGCATTGGTTGTTGACTACACAGATGTATATACATTTGTCAAAACTCATGAAACTACATGTACTCTTATGATTGTGCATTTACTAGTATGGACAGTGGTTGTATTTCCCCAAGTTCTTATGTTGAAATTCTAACCCCTATGTGTGGGACTTTTGGGAGGTCATTAAGTCATGAGGGTGGAGCCTTCATGAATGGGATTAGTGCCCTTGTAAGGAGAGACGCCAGAGCTTCCCTCCCCACCCCCGCATCCCCATGATGTGAGATACAATGAGAACAAGGCCATCTACAAACCAGGAAGCGGGCTTTCACCAGACACCAGATCCATTGGCACCTTGATCCTGGACTTCCCAGCCTTGAGGTAATAAAGAAATTTTAAGCCACCCAGTTGATGATAATCTTGTTATAGGAGCTGGAACTAAGTGCATTTTACTATATACGATTATGTGTCCATATAGAAGTAAATAAAAAAATCCACTGGGCTACATCATGGCCTAATTTACTTCCCAACATTTGTTTTCAAAGATGAAAAAACTACAACCTTAATTTAATTTCCTCCGGAAGAGGGCTGCAGCTCGAGCCTACACAGGCACGAGGGAATGGTGACCTGGCTCTGCTCATGGCCCCAAGGGGCACTTGAGAGGGTGCATGGGCTGCCATAACTCCCTTCCATTCCTCCCCACACACACCACGCACTCTGGGCCTCGCCTCTGAACCCAGTAAAGCTCTGAGCACTTTTCCTTCATCCCCTTTCAAATCCTATATAATAAAAGGGTAATATGCAAATCGACCAAACAGCAGAACAATGAGTTGCTATGACAAGCACTGACCACCAAGGGGCAGACGCTCAATGCAGGAGATGCCCCCTGGTGGTCAGTGCGCTCCCACAGGAAGAGCGCCATTCAGCCAGAAGCTGGCTCACGGTTGGCGAGCGCAGCTACGGTGGCAGGAGCCTCTCCTGCCTCTTCTGCAGCCAGACATCCCCCGAGGGCTCCCAGACTGCGAGAGGGCACAGGCCGGGCTAAGGGACCCCCCCAACCCTGAGTGCATGAATTTTGTATGCCAGGCCTCTAGTTCCTATAAAAGGCATTTCTGAGCAGCAGGGTGATTTCCAATGGCTATCCCTGGAGGAGGCAAAAAACAATCAGCTGCTTTATTTCTTCTGTTTGATTCTATGACTTCTTTTTTTGCTTTGTCTGAGTCTATAGTTATAAACGGGCATGGGCACCCCTGACTTCAAATCCCAGGTCCATAAACTTACTAGCTAGATGATCTTGAGCAAATTACTTAACCTCCCTTAGCTTTGGTTTTCCCTAAGTAAAGATAATGCAATTTCCAATAGGGCTATTGGGAGGTTTAAATGAGATAACAGACAGAAGACACTGAGCCTGGTGCCTGACACTCTGCAAGCACTCATTGCAATAGCAGCCATTCCTAATGCTTTGTTTGATAATTTGGTAAGTAAACCAGGGAAATACAGCGTCCCGGTCAAATCCCCCCCAGCAGTCATGATGCTCTGAATGTAAAGAGTGGGGGTGCATACATGGGGTACAAGACTACACAACACAATGGATGTCCCACAGAGGACACAGCTGGGAACCAGGTGCTGAAATGCACCCCAAAATGAAGATTTTGCTTAATATTTACAACATTATAAAAGTGAGAGCTGTTCAACAACAGACTACGCTGGGTAGGAGCTCTCACTGCCGCAAGTGTTTGGGCGGAGGCTGAGAAACATGGCTCAGGGTTGCTGGAAGGGAACCTGCCTGGGATTGAGCACTGGAAGAGATGGGATTAACGCTCCCTTCAGAGGTGCAAGCTCCAGCGAGGTCTTCCTGGCTGCTCATCCTCCCTGGCAGTCTTCTTAACCCCACCCAAGGAGCTTCTAGTGCAGTGATGGCGAACCTTTTGAGCTCGGCGTGTCAGCATTTTGAAAAACCCTAACTTAACTCTGGTGCCGTGTCACATATAGAAATTTTTTGATATTTGCAACCATAGTAAAACAAAGATTTATATTTTTGATATTTATTTGATATATTTAAATGCCATTTAACAAAGAAAAATCAACCAAAAAAAATGAGTTCGCGTGTCACCTCTGACACGCGTGTCATAGGTTCGCCATCACTGTTCTAGTACCAAGTCTTCCTTAGCACTTGCTGGCAAGTGCGCGCGCACACACACACACACAAAATATATATAGGATTCAACAGCCCTCCCCAGTTCTAGACGGAAGAGAGGAAAATTTTGGAATTTTTTTTACCACACACAAGGGTTTTAAAAAATCCCCCTTGTAGGCCTGTTCAATGCAGACAGGCAGCCTCTTGTTGACGTTCTTACATCAGTCTTGGATTCTGGTCTAGACCAGAAGTTTAAGCTTCAGTCGATGACTCAGGCTCAGGAAGGACCAGCATGAATGGAGCAGAATTCAAATCCTTCTACGTGAACAAGCACCCCTCACCCCCAAAATACACCACACCCATGCAAGAAGAAGCACACACATGCCAAAAAGTACATGCACACACACCCCCGGAGGGCACCCATCTGACCTGCTGGCTCAGTAGGAGGCTGGGCCCTATTGAGAAAATGTGGGAATATGGGAGCCTGGGCATTTTCTGAGGTTGGCAAAGAAAAACAGGAATGCAACATGACTTGAGACATTGAAACTGCTCCAAATCTCTTTCACTGAACCAGTCCTGCTAACTGACTCAGGTTACAACCCAAGGAAGGGCCTACCTTAGAAATGAATTACGATTAGGATGGCTCACTTTTAATATCAAGCTAAACAAGCTTGCACCATCCACACTGCACAAAATAATTTTATGAGATCTTAAGAGATAAATTATCCTGATGCAGGAATCAGAGCCATCTTAT